TGGATTTTACAAAGCAGATCACCCCGCCTCTCTGCTGATGCCCCTGGGGGTGGACTCAAACCTCCAACCTTTTGATTAGCAGCGGAGTGCTTTCACGGTCCGTACCACCCAGCATCAAGCTAGTGGTAGCTGGTGTAACTATTAGTTATCATCCATAAAGGGCCAGGGAGTCTGGGGCCCATCTCCGTGCCTTGGTGCCCCCGTGGCACCGTGCATTCTGTGCTGGTGAGGTGGGTGGGTACCTGGTAGGCAGTCTTGGTGATGGTCACACGGTTCCCCCTCAGCCGGTGATGTTTCGTTGCCATCGCTGGAGAGTTGACCCAGGTGTTTGTCTGGGGACATGAAGATGTGGTATCAGAAACAGGCAGCGGAGCCAAGAGGTGAATCACACAGACCCGGAGGCAGCCCGCCCTCGCTGTCCCATCCAGCTCTGCGCCAGACAGCTCCCTCTTCTCTGCCCTTCCTACGGGCAAGAGGGCGAATGATACAGGAACCATCGAAAGAAGATGGAGGGAGTACACACAGTTACTGCACCAAAAAGAACTGCTTGATGTCCAAGCACTTCAGGAGGCAGCAAAGGATGAAGAACTGACGGCGCTGACAGAAAGAGTCCCAGCTGCACAGAGGCATTGAAGAAGAAGCAAGTTTTCAGGAACGGACAGGACACCAACTGAGATGTTTCAACAAGTGGCTAAAACCCTGAAAGTATTCACTCATCTCTGCCAAGAAATTTGGAAGGCAGCTACTTGGCCAATCAACTGGAAGAGATCCATTTTTATGCCCATTCCAAAGAAAGGCAAACAAAGGAGTGTAGTGCTTATTGAACAATATCACTAATATCACATGCAAGTAGAATAGTGCTGAAGACCATTCAAACATGGTTGCCGAGGTACATAGACAGGGGCTGCCAGAGACTCAGGCTGATTCAGAAGAGGATGTGGAACAAGGGATGTCATTGCTGATGTCAGATGCATCTTGGCTGAAAGCAGAGACCAGAAAGAGGCTTTCCCTTGTTTTAGTGACTGTGGTAAGGCATTTGACTCTGTGGATCATAAAAAGTTATGGATCACATTGTCAAGAGTGGGAATTCAAAACAAACAAAGAAAAAGAATGGGAATTCAAGAACACTAAATTTTGCTCATGGGAACCGATACACAGACCCAGTGCCCTGTTTGAATAGCACCAGGGGCGACTGCATGGTTAAATCAGGAAAGGTATGTGGCAGGACCGTATCTTTTCGCTAGGTTTACTCAAGCTGTGTGTTTAGCACGTAAGCTGAGAAGCTGGATTGGACAAAGAAGACCTTGGCAGCAGGCTTGGAGGAAGGCTCCTTACCAACCTGCAATACGCTGATGCACGACTTGCTCACTGAAAGCCAAGCGGGCTTTAAGTCCTTCCTGATGGTGATCAGTACTATCAGTACTATGGATCACACCTCAACAGAAAACAACACCACGGTCTGCACCATTGGACCACTGAGCTGCATCACCGTCAACAGAGAAGAGATCGCAGCTGCCAAGGGTTTCATTTCACGTGGATCCATAGTCAAGGCCCATGAAATCACACGAGGTATCACATCGAGCAATTCTTCCGCACAAGACCTTAAAAGGGCCCAAGAATGAAGATATACTTTGACGATCACGGTGCACCTGGGCCAAGTCATGACATTTTCAGACACCCCCTCTATGCCTGTGAGGCTGGACAATGACTGAGGAAGGCCAGGGAGGAGTCGGCACATTTGAATGACGGTGCGGGTAAAGAACATTGACCATACATACCGGGGACTGCCGCAAGAGGAGCAAACCTGTCTGGGAAGAAGTACAGCCAGAACGCTCCTTCCAAGCGAGGATGGGCATGCTGTCAGGAGAGACCAGTCCCTGGAGAAGGGCATCATGTGTGTGAAGCGGAGGGTCATCAATAAAGAGGAAGACAGACCCTCATGGAGGGGGGTGGCATCATGACTGCAACAATGAGCTCCGGCATCGAAACGATCATGAGGATGGCGCATCTAACCACAAGAGCAAGCACTTTACAGCATTTCCATTTGGGCTGTCGGGTGAGACGCGGTTTAGATTTGACTTTGGACAACCGTAGGATAGCCAGAGCTCCCAGGGCTGGGGAACTCGGCACCGGGGTATCACGGTAGGTGGGCATACCTCTCTTCTTTGCAGAGGGCCACACATCAGGTTTTAAGTCTTCGTAATCGGTCCAGTCGAACAAAGCCATGTCCAGCGTGGGCATCACCTCCCCATCAGGCCGGGGCTGCACCTGCAGAAAGGGGTGTGGAGGAGGAGACCTGGGGCTGTCTGGCTGCTGTGAGCAGGAATGGGGGTCAGGGTGAAGGGCAGGGGATCTCCCTGACAGCATGGAATCCCAGCTCACAGGACATGGCTGGCCCCTTGAGGCTCCCATGGGCTCCAGTAGCCACTTGGCTGGTGTCTGTCCTAGTGAGCAGGAGCCGCTCCCTGTCCTACCTAAACAGGGAATTCCAGAGAAATCTGACCCAGGCCCTCTGGAAGGTGGGGGGAGGCACCCTCTGGACTGGGAAGCATCTTGCTGCTCAAGGTTTCTGATTCCACATGGCGGAGTTTGGACAGGCCCAGCTGTTCACTCCTCAGGCCGTCTTCTCTCTGGCAGAAGTCACCGGCCCTCCTGGTACCCCATGGCCACCGTCAGGGCCAGCTCTTCAGACAGCCCCCCTCCAGCAGTCTCAGAGTGCTGAGGACCAGAGGTTGTGGCTGGCTGGGCACACAGTCACCTGCTCACAGTGGGATGTGGGCAGTCACAGCCCCTTCGAAGGCTGGGTCCCTAAGAGGAGGGCTTTGGGGGCCGAGCTGAAGCCAAGAGCCTGGGTGAAGACCCACGCCTGTAGCCGTGAGCATCCTCACTAGTAGGTGTGGGAGTCGGGAGTGGCTGCTCCAAGAAGACGTTGTATTACTCCTAGATGTCCTTGGCGTTGGTCCTTGTAAAGATTTTACTCGAAACAACGCAGAGTCCCAGGAGCAGCACAATTAGCTCCTGTAAGCCCTTCTGTGGATTCACCAGGCCACCACCCATTTGTGGGGTGGCCATCCTGAGGAGGCCTGTGTGTTGCTGTGAGCCTGGAAGCCAGGCCACCAGCAGTTCACATTCCAGCAGGGTTACCCACGGCAGACAGGACTCAGAGATGGACTATGAAGAAAGGCCAATGTCGGCGCTGTAGATTACGAGAGGCCGTTGCCTCCTGCAGTGCTGGAAGGTGAGTCCCTTAGTATGGGAAACAGAAGGATTTCTCTCAGGCTGTCTCCCCCAAACAGATGCCAGACTTAGCGGCTTGAGAATGACTATACACTTGGAGGTCATCAGGAATAGATTAGGGGTCATTCTCCCAAGGAGCTATCAGCCAT